AGCGTAGTTGGTTCGTATCACTTCAATTATTATTCGTCTTAATTTATTAATATCAACTGATGGAGGGGGAGGAGCAACAGCAGGAGGACCTGTAATATTAGAAGACATTAATAATTATAGTGTCTCATGTTTTGGTACTGTACTATAGTACAGGGTATTTCGTCAGAAATGACTAGGAATAAATTCTTCATTTTTATAGTTTTTTCTGATGTATATACATGTACTTATGTTGTGTAGAAAGTTTGAGCTGATTCCGATCAAAATTGGATTTTTTACAAAGTTGCTCCAAAATTGGGTAAAAGTCGGGTCACGGGCCAAATTTCGCCAAAAATGAAAAGGAGAAAATTCTTCATTTTTATTACATTTTCTGATGCATATACATGTACTTATGTTGTGTAGAAAGTTTGAGCTGATTCCGATCAAAACTGGATTTTTTACAAATTTTAAAATTTACTCAAAAATTGGGCCAAAGTCCCTGTACTACGTGACGCAAATTCTACTCTACATTGTACTTTTAATGTTATTATGTAAGAATTACGGATCACCTTGCAATGTAGAGTAGAATTTGCGTCACGAGTAGGATTTTCATTTCGTATTTTCGTTGATCATTCGGAATCCTACTTCACCTTGTTTTTTTTTAATTTTTTATGTTCTTGTTTGTGTTGATTTTTTTATAATATTTATAGTATTTCTTTAGTTGCAATTGTGATACTTGTTGATTTTACACAAACAATAATTTTCTTTATTATTATTATCATTATCATTGTTATAACATTTATGAGAGACAGCATTGAATAGACATGCTGAAGGAATATCAACTATACTGATGACAAGTGAAACTAATACTAGTCTTGACACAAGTCCTTGTTCAAGAATCTGTGAGCTAAGAGTGTCCATCTTCCCTGCTATTGCTGTTCTTCCAGGCTGTTGTCAAGTTCATAATTATCATTGCATATCATAAGTCATAACATTAATTAATTGTTTGTTTTTTTAAATAAAATAAAATAACACAGTTGATAAAACAGTAACATGTAAAATCAATACCTTCTTTTAGCTAGAAACCTCCACTAAAGTATTGCAGTAAGTTGATTCCAAGCATAGCTTGGTAAAAAAATAACTTGCTTCTTCCAGAGCTGCAGATCTGAGCATGCGCGACCACACCCAAATTTTGGAGCACATGGCAAGCTAGCTTCTTTAATTAACAAAATGGCGGCATGTAGCTAAGATGGCTCGATCCAGCAGTCACAGTATCACTTTTTCCTACTTGAAAAATGATCTGATGGGACATGGACCTGCGCATAGACTGTTGGAGTAGATTGGTGTAAGAATTATCCTTTTAGCACCAACTGATACTGAGATACACACCGACAAGTGGATTGACAGGACTAACTTTCTTGATGAAGATGAAAAAAGGTGGCTGAACAAAACGGCCGGTTCGCCGATTTTTGTATTTTCTCTTATACAAGGTCTAGAGCCACGCTAGTGGTACCATTGGAGTCCTCTGGTCAAGATA